ACTTTGCATGCACTGCATGCAAAGCAGCTAATTTCTTTGCACAATATTAAACAGGAGCATTTCTAAATGGATGGTTTTGGCGTCACAAAGGCAAAAAGGTTGAATTGCCGTCCTACCTTCCACGTAGCCACTATTGGATGAAGAATAAGCACCCCATATGAAGAATAAGCACCCCACACTGCTTATTCATCAAAGCCATAATTTCACACACGTATGGAAATACAAGTGGCTAAGCACTTAAAACGTATCTACCCGTGCCACCTCCAGGTTCCATGCTTTAACAATCAACAAGCATGCACCACCTCAAGCCTCCACGTTGCACCATTAATCACCAATAAAATTGGCATCTAAAACCTTAAATAAATATTCCTATTTAAATTATGGAACATTCGGGTCTAATAGATATACCCATTTGTTAATGTCAATAAGAGCATTTATTTGGCATTCCACGAAATTTTATTTGGTCCACACACCACATTCCAGTTAGCAACCATCATTTTACTAGTTATGAAAGTAATTATCATTGCGAGAGTAATTATCACTAGATTATTTTAAATTTTAAAATTTGTGTAATTTTTTGTAACAACACTTCTCTAAAAATGATGATTTTATAATTTTAATACGTGAGTTTATGAAGATGCCCTTCAAGGCAAAGTGTTGACTTTGTTGACTACCACGTCGTGTCATGTGAGACTTATCTTTTTGGCGTATTCTCGTTTTACTCGTCGCTACGGATGCGTGGGTGCAAACGGGACGTGATTTGAAGCTATAACGAAAGAGTTATTAATATTTAAAGTTAAGAACATTTTAGTAAATTAATTAATTTCAGATTTTGTTGAGGGGAAAATCTGGAGTGTCACGTGGGTGGCCCAGATTAAAGGAAATGAGGAATGGATGGTGGAGATGTAAAGGAAAGAAGATAAAAGAAAAATGAGAGGAAGTGTGTGACTAATAGGGAGAGGAGAGAGTTAGGATGGCCCAATTAGAAACAAACGAAAGGAGGAAAAAGGAGAGAAGAGGGGAGCGGGGGATCCCTTTGACCCGGTTCCACTTTCCGACCCAACCCGGTCTTTTTCATCTTCTCCAGTGGTTTTTTATCGGTTTTTCCGGCGAATCACATTATCTAACCCCTTGGAAAATGTTCCACGACCTTCCCTCTACCCATTACAACCCAAAATTGTAGAAATTTAGCCATGAAAGTATGAAAACTGCACCGGTGGGTGCGGGAAACCCTTGTCATCGATTCTCCCATTATTGAAACGATTTTCACCAATTACCACCACCTATAGCATCATCTTGAGGTCTGGAATAAATCCCAAACAAGTTTTGGGGCGTCAGAGTTCGTTTAAGGTCGAATTGAGCACACCCAAATTCAAGGGTTCTGTACAGTTCATGGTGATTTGAGGTGTTTCTTGGCCAAATTGGCCTTAGTCACAGGTATGAAAGTTTCTCCACTCGTTGAGATTTTCATTTCTGTGAAATTTGAGAATTTTTAGAAATACTTGGATTTTTCGGTGAGTCGGGGCAGCCGATCGCCACCGACGGCGGCGCGTGCGGTGGTGCGTGGCCAGTGGGCCGCCAATGTCATTTCACGTTAAATTGATATCTTGATTTTAGATTTGATGTCTAGATGTTATGACTTGATTATGTGAACCTAGTTTGATTAAGGTGCGTTAATTGGTAAAAATATGAAACGACGATTCGACCGTGTGATTGTCACCAAACTTTAATATGTTATAGTACATAATATTTGAGAATCATAGGGACCGACGGATCAGAAATCCGATATACGGATCTTCTCGAAATGGAATTGTAAGTTCGAAAAATAATGTTAACCGCCACTTTGTTTTGACTATTGGCGGAGATCCAACCGTTGGATCATAATGAAATTTTAGGATGATGTTTTAGAAGCATAATGTGGATCTTTGGAAATTACTGATCGGAAATCCGAGGAGCGGATCTTCCGGATTGAATTATGTAGGGTTGTGGACCCTACCGTCGATCGTTGACCGATGGTCAATGGGACTTAAATCACTCTAAAACGTTTTTAGGGATGTGTTTTATGTGAATTACTTGATCTATTGATAAGAATTCTAAGATGTGGTTTGATAATTGTCCTAGGCGCCGATTGTTTGGGATGCTTCGATGGTTGTGCTAGGAAATTGTAGCACAGATTCCAAGTGAGTGGATCTTTTCCTTCTTATCATATATATATATATATATATATATGATTGACAATTCCACAAACGTTTATAAATTGATTATTGCATATAACTACTGTGAATACTTTGAAGTACTTATGCGAACTACGAATGACTTGATCCTTGTTTAAGGTACGTAGACAATCTAACAAGACGTTAGATGCAGTCATACAATAATTGAGATTAAGCAATTGAGACAAAGCCTTGTTTGGGGAATTGGGCAAGGTGAAGGAGTTTGGTAAAAAAAGGTGAGATTTAACCTTATGAATTGGTGATTAAATGTTGGTCATAAATCAATGTGTAAAGAATCAAGAATTTGAAGTAAGGAAACGTAAGTAATGATAATTAATTAAACTAGTGTCTAGTTGGGCTTATCACCTATAATTATTCCCGAAAATGAATAATTCAGGAGTAGGGCTTTGCAGCTTATGCATTTTTATACCACATTATATATATATATATATATATATATATATATATATATATGTATATGTATATAATTAGAAATGCTATAACGTGGTTGAGTATTAGATTTCATCATGTTTTATCTATATGTATATTACCTGCACACAATTATTATGAACGTTTTGAAGTGCAAAGGTGAACGCAGAACACCCAGGTAAGTTCAGGTGAGTTTATGGTATTAGTTGAAATGATGGGGTTATGGTATGACTACATGTAAGTTTAGGCAACTCCGACCTTGTCGTATGGGTTGCAATGATAGGCAACTCCGACACTGTCGTACAAGTTGCTCATGAATTGTATATGTTACAATAGATACAGTTAGAGCTTATAAACCTGCACCTGGTGTTAGTGCTCCTGCCCGTGGCCAGGACACAATCCTTCATATGATGTTCACCTCCTGCACCTTACGCTCACCTTAGATCCAAGGTAGGTGCATAGTCTTGTCGTACAGACCACTATAGGTGGTTCAGACTCGTAGGTGACCCACGATTATTCGCACAGTTTTCACGTGATCATAGCACTTGAGCATATTTATTTACACCCAGTGCTGTCGTACAGACCACTTTAGGTGGTTTCGACTCGTGTGCAGGTATACTTATTGAGCTATGGATAAGTCGTACATGTCACTAGAGGTGACTCCGACTTATGAGTTAGCATATGTGATGAAATATGTGATGAACTAGCATATGTGATGAGATATGTGATGAGCTAGCATATGTGATGAAATATGTGATGAACTAGCATATGTGATGAGATATGTGATGAGCTAGCATATGTAATGAGATATGTGATGAGCTAGCATAAGTGATGAAATATGTGATGAGCTAGCATATGTGATGAAAAATGTGATGAGCTAGCATATGTAATGAGATATGTGATGAGCTAGCATATGTGATGAAAAATGTGATGAGCTAGCATATGTGATGAAATATGTGATGAGCCATATGTGATGAGCTAGCACATGTGATGAGCCATATGTGATGAGCTAGCATATGTGATGAAATATGTGATGGGCTAGCATATGTAATGAGATAAGTGATGAGCTAGCATATGTGATGAGATATGTGATGAGCTAGCATATATGATGAGATATGTGATGAGCTAGCATATGTGATGAGCTAGCATATGTGATGAGATATGAGATAAGCTAGCATATGTGATGAGATATGAGATGAGCTAGCATATGTGATGAGATATGGGTAAGTCGTACAAGTCACTATAGGTGACTCCAACTTGCGTGTTAGTATGAGTTATTAATCACATGATTATTGATATTGCTGATGAGATGCTGTGTTGTGGTATATTTTTGATCTTTCTGGAAACTATGCAGGTGTTGTAGTGAGAGGTTATAATGTTTTATATTGTTTCTATTAAAATTTTATTTACAGGGCCACTCACCCTTGTTTTGTTTTCACCCTTCAGGTTTTATTAGCGGAGCTTTCTTATCGTTGAAGATTCGTGGCGATTCTTAGTATTGGAGATTATTTCAAGGGTACGATTCTGAATTCACTTTACTGTATTTGCTTATGCTCTAACGTCACGTGTGAAGTGGGTTCATTTTCGCTCACCAGCGCATTCTGGTATTTAGGCACTCTTAGGTTTAAATTTATTCACATTTTTCCACATCATACTTTATGGCTTCGTCACCCTCTAGGTGTCGGCCAGCACAACTCGATTCGGAGTCTTAGTGGACATCCCGGGTCGGGATGTGTCATTTTTAAATCAAATCAAACTTACTCCACAATGATTAGCAAAAATATTTCTCATTTTCGATCACTTGAGTTGCAAACAGTTTAATAATTAACTACCACTAGTCTCATATCACACACTAAAGTGTGTCATAATTAATTATCACTAGTCTCATACCACACACCTAAAGTTGTGTCAATTCTATTTTTTATTGTTTTACTTATTTCAAAACTAAAAAAATCAAATACCTATAGCTTTATTATGTGGTTTTTCGTATTAAAATAATAAAATTTTAGTTGACAATGAGTTATCATAGAGAGAGATGGAAAGGTGCGGCAATAGTAGAGATAATAGAGATGTGTAATTGTAAAGTGTGTGTTATTCCACATCATTGTGCCTTTATTTATAGTAGTAGGAAATGTTAAATTTTTACCATTTAGGATTAAAACATTTAATAGGTAATCTACTTCTAATAGGAATATAAGAGATATTTCAAAATATACTAGGATTTACACATTCATATTCCTAATCTAATAAGACTGCAACAAAGATGACATCTTTTAGGTCAGGAATTCCAGTTTTCAAATAAAAATCTCGTGGTTCAGCGGTTGGATTGTATTTAATGAGATTGTGCGGCTGAGATTAAATAGGTAAAAAAAATCTTCCTTTTTCTCTTGCCGTTTCTCCTTGCCCTAGTTGCGAACGAGCCGCCACGCGAAGAGGAGTGCACGACACTGAAGAAAGAAGCCAAAGCTTCAATTCCCAATCGCGAGCAAAAAGATTCGGAGATATATTTGTGAACTCAGGTATTGGTTTCCTTCTCTTGAAAATCCTGGGTTTATCGATTTGGGAATTTTTCTGAAGTTCTAAAGGTACTAAAAGTGATTGGGTTCTGATTCGAATTGTACGTTCATTTGCTGGGGGTTGCTTTTCGTTTTGTTAAAAGTCCTTTAATTTTCCTGTGCCTAAATTATGGTTTGTAATTCAGATTTAAATTTAGGTCTTATTCTGTGTTGTGATTTGTTTATTTATTTTTATTTTTTTAATTTCAAGTTGAACGTTGAAACTAATTGAGCATGGCAATTGATCTATGGAAATCATAATTTGAAATTCCATTAATTTTGCAGGTGCGAAAGGAAGCTACACAGCGCATGCTTTAGCAATTAGCAGCAAGAAAGATGCTTCCTTGCCCTCAATCTTGTGTTGTTTTCTTCAACAATTACTTGGCTTTCTTTCACTCTCAATCTTCAAACCCTAAACCCAATGAATCTACAAATACCCATCCCAAGAAGCAGCGGCTTGTCAGGGAGAGGAATCCACCCACCAAGATTGGTAATCTCGAGGACGCTTTGAGTTTGTTCAATGTGAGGCTTCGACTGCGCTCTCTGCCTTCTGTTGTCTGTTTCACCCAAATTTTGGGTCAACTTGGGAAGGTGAAACGTTACTCGGCCGTGATTTCTTTGTATAACCAAATGGGTTTGTTGGGATTGTTCCTGATGTTTATATTCTAGCTATCATCATCAATTGCTTTTGTCGTTTGAAGCGTGTGATTTAGCTCATCCGTCTTGGGAAAATTCTTCAAATTTGGTTTTGAACCAGATGTCACGACCCTCAACACGTTTGAAGCGTGTGATTTAGCTCATCCGTCTTGGGAAAATTCTTCAAATTTGGTTTTGAACCAGATGTCACGACCCTCAACACTTTAATGCACGGGTTTCTTCTTGAGAATGGAGTTTCTAAGGCATCATGACTTTTCAAAGAAATGGTGGAGGGCAGGTTGTAAGCCAATGTGATCACTTTCAGCACACTTGTAAAGGGCTTTGGCATGATGGGTAACAGTTGTGCAGCTATTCAGATGCTCAGAAAAATTGATCAAAGAGGTTGTAAGCTCGACACCGTTGCCTATAGCACGATCATCGACAGTAAGTAGTTGTCGACACAGTGAACATCTTCTCATAAATTATTAGTATGGGTCTCCCCCATATACCATTTTGTATACCTCTTTGATTCATGGATTTCGGAGATTAGGCAAGTGGAAAGAAGCCACAAGTTGTTGAATGAAATGGTGACTAAAAATATATTTCCAAGTGCACGCACCTTCAATGTCTTGGTTGTGCATTTTGTAAGTGGGTATGGTTGTGGAAGCAAGGAGTGTGATTGGAATGATGATAAAGAGATATATTGAGCCTGATGTGGCATCCGCCTTTGGTTGTCCGCTTTAATCAACTAATGAGTCCGCTTCCAAAGTTGAAACATTATTCGGCCGTTATTTCTTTGTATAACCAAATGTGTCAATTGAGAAATTGTTCTTGATGTTTATTCACTGAACATATTATTCTTAATTGATTTTGTTGTACGAACCAAATGGGTTTTTAATTTACTCATTTTTGGCAAAATTCTTCAAATTTCGTTTTGAACCAGATGTCTCGACCCTCAACATTTTATTCCATGTGTTACTTCTTGAAAGTAGAGTTTTTGAGGCCCTAATACTTTTCAAAAAGTGGTAGGGGGACCTTGTAAGCCCAATGTGATTACTTTCAATACACTTATAAAGGGCTTTTACATGACGGGTAACAATAGTGTAGCTATTCAGTTGCTCAGAAAGATGAAAGAAAGGGGTTGTAAGCCCGACACCGTTCCTGTAAGGATAAGCTAGTTGTAAAGACACATTGAAGGTTTTATTGGAAATGATTAGTAATGGTGTTCCCTTGTCGCCATTTCGTATCTCTTTGATTCATGGAGTTTTGCATGCTAGGCAAGTGGAAAGAAGGTACAAGGCTGTTGAAAGAAACGGTGAGAAAATATCTTTCCAAATGCACACACCTTGAGTGTCTTGGGTAATCCATTTTGTAAGGAGGGGATGGATGTGGAAACAAGGAGTGTTAGAGGTAAAATTATCCGAGGGTTTCTTAGGAATAATGAGATATCAAGGGCGGTGGGACTTGTTTGTGAAATGGTGGAGAACGGTTTCTCTGCAGATGCATCAAGCACAAATTTGATAGTTGACTTAGTCTAAAGATAAAGCTGATCCCGCTTTGTTGCCATTGATAAAAAATTAATTATGAAGTTCGTTTGCATTTTTGGAACAGATCCTTCTCAGTATATCACAATATCTCGACAATTTTCTATTTGGAAACACGTAATACAGACTGGTTTTCACTTCCCCATAATTTTTCTTGACATTATGTTGTTTGAGAAATACATCAATCCCTGGCCGTATGGATTATGATGTTTAAGATGACTGATCATATATGATACAAAGCTCATATAAATGGTGAGAGACTCTTGAACTTAGCAACTTACTGAGCATAATTGGAACCACCGAAGGTTAACAACCCTTCATAAACAATTAGGACCCGTTTGGTGGGCTGGATGAGATTGAGCCTTAGAGATAGGATTCGATTGGCAGAGACTTTTAAGACAGTACTTGTAACCCATGTATATGGATAGATTATATTATCCACTCTCGTGGATTCATAAGCATCAGTCTTGTCCATCTCACATTTTGATACAACAAACAACAGATTGGACTCAAGTCCATTTTAATTGATCACAACATATCCCATCCAACCCACTAAACATGACCTATAATCCTAGGTACTCACTACTCACATTCAATTGGCTGACTCTTCTAACATCCAATTGACTCGAACTTAGTATATCTATATTTTTCCCATTCATATTCCTACAGCTATATAGGCTGATCAGATGAGTTGAATTTGTAACCATTTCTTCATGGATGGAGTTTAATCGTCATATAGCAAACTAATTGTTTATCAGTACGTTTATATTTTTCCCGTGTATAATTCTCAAAGCAATGACTGATCAGTTGAGTGGAATTTGTAACCATTTCTTCAAGAAAAATACGGGAAGATGTTATCATGTGTTACTGCCATTCGGAAAAATCTATTGTCTATTACGAAATTTTGTCATGACAATGACTGTTAGTTTCGTCATGAATGTTTATGGTTTTTTGTTAAGGACAACAAGAAGAGGAAGGGTACTTCTAGTTGGCAGTAGTTCTAATGGTCCTTATCACATCCGTCACTACTACAATTACCAGTTTGCGCCACGAAGCATAGTTGGTCGCTCAAAGACAAAAAGCTTCGTTTGAGAATTAGCATGACAAAACCTTCGTTGCGCGGATCCGGATGCACAAAGGTGGTAAAAAAAGGGTTTGCACAACGACGGCGTAAGCTACGTCGAACAAAAGGTCTTCGCTGGCTGACAATAACCTACGTCGTGTGAAATCTTTGTGCGATGTAGCTTACTCTCATGTTGTGCAAAGATAGGTGCGCCACGTAGGTTACTGCCATCGCTCAAAGCCCTTTTGCGCGACGTAGCTTACGCCGTCGTTGCACAAAGTTATTGTTATTTTTATTTTATTTTTTACAATATATTTTTATATATAATTTTAATAAACAATAATTAATAAACGAAGAAAAAGTATTTCATTATAAAATATATGAAAATGTACGTACAAGCTGTCCGAATAGAAAAAAAAACTACAACAAATAGTCATCCGAGTTTGATCCATCAGGCTACTAGGCATCGGCTAATTGAAACGGCTGGGAGGTCAAAGGTGGAGCAGCATCAGGTGCTGGCATTGAGATTTGGAGTTTAGACAGCTCGAAGGCCCGTAAGATCACACTTAACTTCTCGTCCGGGGTGACGACCTATCCTGTGGTCGGTTTGGAAGAAGAGGCACCTGTCTCACGAACCCGTGCTTTCCCCATCCCCCCCCCCCAACAACCTTGCCATGACTACGACCGAGCGTCTAATCAAGGGTCTTAGTTAGGATCTTAAGACCTGCATCCTCGGGTACAGTGACATCCCTGAAAGGGGTCTCTGAAGGAAGCTGCTCTTGTTGGAGAAGAGCATAATAAGAAAAAACATTTAATATTTAATAAAAAAATGTAATTAATATTTGAACGAGTTATAAATATAAGAATAATAACAATTACATATATTTACATGGAGTTGCTTAGCGGTCTCATTGCCGAGTCGAATATAAACATCCTTGAACATGTTGAGCTCTAGGAAATTAGAACCCTCCTGAAGGAAAAAAATAAAGAAATTTTATTAACCATAATAAAAAAAAAATTGTATAAAATTTAAAATCAATATACTTTTACCTGACGTCCCGCCTCAACCCTATAGGAGAAAGGCACCAAATCGGAATGGTGGAGAAGTGTCTTTGACTCCCAAGCTTTCTTGCTAGCAACAAATTTTTTCTGTTAAACACACAATATACGTGTTAGTTCGACTATTTGAAAGAAATTATTAATTTTTTTAAATAACTAAAACATAATTAAATTATTATTAACATATTATGTACATACTTGCCACAAATTTTGTGTCCGTAAAATGTTTGCAAAATTACTCCCAATCCTCCGGCTACTCCAACAACTCCGTTGGGCAACCCTCTAGGCGAGCAATCTCGATCATCCCATTTCTTAAAATGCCCGTGGAGTTCGCACTTCCAATGTTTGAATCGAGTTGCTAAGTTCTCCTCTAAGTAGGTGGTGTCCTTGGGTATATGTCCTAAGATTATAATTGAACTACAAATATGAAAATAACAAAATAATAGTAAGAAATTAATAATATTAAGATAATATACTTTTGTTTATAATATTTGTAGACAAAATTAAAAAAATGATAAATTCTAAAAATGAAAATACAAACTGACAACTCATGTTGCATCGCTGCCTTCGTCTCCTCGGGAATTTTTGCCCAAGACTCCCATTGCATAGGACAATGCCATCGAATAACAAAATGAGCACTGTTAACGATGCTGCTATGCTGCTGTGAAGTAGCCACTCCATGATGTCGTGGGTCATACGCAATCTTAATTAATTCGTTGGACACACATACGTTGTGTGCTAGCTTCAACATTCGATTAGGCCCCCTAGTTTATTTTTTTTAGCTGCCCATAAAAAATTAAAAGGACAAAAACCATAATCTTAAATTTCTACCGAAAATTCGGCAGAACCTCGCCTAATAGTATATGATTAGAAATTACTACCCACGTGTTGCAACAGTATTAAAAATTGTATGAAAGATTATGTTTGAAACATATAAAAGATTGTCTTAGAACATTGTTTCAATTTAGGTACAATGAATTGAAAGTTTTAGCAATCATGCCCCATGTTGGGGGAATAAGGCTTTTGGCTGGAATAACATTGCTTTTATGTTTCTTCTCTTCCACCATTGCAGTTCATGCTAGAATAACAATTATTCACAATACATACAAAAAATTATTGTTATTCTGATATATATAGAACTCAGACTAGGAAATACTAAAGCTACAACGCCTGAAATTTAAACCAAGTTAACTGTAAAACAAAATATAAGTTTCTCCTTTACCAAACTAGGGAGTAGAAATATGGGACACCTATAATCTTTAGCCTATGACTGTTATACGCTTGGATTGTTGAATAAAAATTGAGAGACGTTTGTAAGATGCTTGTTACTGCTTCTTTCATCAACTCTTCTTGATCTTTAACTTTGAGTTGTGGTAGATAAGTGGCACATGAATTTTCCTTTGTAAACTACATTTTAGATCTAAGAACGAAACACATTTATTAAAAAAGAGGAATGCACTGTTAGAAACATGGGTAATGAACAATTAAAATTGTAACCTCAAAATTCATATAATTTGGCCTAAACTAATTAAAACGATTTGCTTATTTTGGTAAAGGATTAACAAATTAGGTATAATGTAACTAATTTTTAACCGATTGGCATTAGGAGGATTAAACAGGATGCTATAAAAGTATTTTGACAATTCAGGATTAATAAAAATCAGACAAATAAAATTTTATAGAAAAGCTTTTCAAGAGCTTAGTTGGAGGAGACACTATCTGAAATCAACAGTCAAAAGAAAAAGATTATTGAAATTACAATGCTTGATCCTACATATTAAATTTTATAATGCAATATGAAAAAGCTGACCGCATTGTTGAATATTATTATGAAATTCAGCAGATTCACTAAGCACATACAATAATTTGTGTAGAATATGTATAAAAGCTTGAAATTACTTACAGGAATGTGATTCAGAATGTTTGATCACTGTGGTGGGCAATAAAGTAGGGTCATGCAAACTTCTTCCAACTGCAATGAATAATGAGAAGAAACAATGCTTAGGAGAATCATTTTTTAATTAACAACGAAAAGAATACTACGTTTTCGGTCATGTTGGAAACTCCATTTTTTTTCCATAAATATTGGATTTAGAATAATGTTAAGCTGGAAAACAAAAATTGAAAGGATTAGAGGATGGTTCTTACCTAAATTAAGCTGACATCAACAAATTTAGTTATATAGCTTAAAATGACATCATGAACTTAATCAATAAACACAAAATTTATATGTACTTGTTTCCACGTATACTATATCCACT